TTTTTAAAACATTAAAACTTTGGAACAGCATCTGTGTATACAATTATGTAGTAGTGCAAACTTCACTGTATAATAAAAAAAGAAAACCAAGACTAGTAACAACAGCAAGTGACAGTAATATTCATTACAGCAAGTATATATGCCAATGGAATAGTCTTCTAATTAATAAATCTTCTGTGAACCCTGTAATCTTTGTTAGTACTCTCTGTCAAAGCATGGAGGTGCATAGCTTATCTCTATTTAAGTTCAGGTAAACACTTATTCCTTTAAACACGCACATGCATTTAAGTTCTGCATGTTGAACATGTTTTTCATCAGAAGAGCCAAACTTCAAAATTTAGTGTACTACAAGCAATGTGGACCCATCAAATGATGAATAACATATCAGCTGGGTTTAGCAATAAAAAGGTGGAGGAACTAACTAAAGTGTTGTGAAAATCTATTGAAAATGCACATACTCTTCTCTTTCAGGGAAATAAATGTGACCAAAAAAAGCTGTGGCTGAAGTTGAAGACCAATGAATATGAAATCATAGCCACAACTGCTCAACAGTCCTCACCCACGGAAATTCTGTAGGAAAAACGACATGAAACCATATAAGCATATGAAAGGGAAAGGTATGCAACCGTTTGCTAGATCAGTCTTGTGGACTGTTGATCTCCTAACATGTTCAACTTTATTCTTTTCTGTAAGTAATGCACTGCTCTAAATTATTTTAGGGAACTTAACCCATTGCCGCCGGGGAAAATGAACAAAAAATGGGAGAAATACAGTACTCATTTTTTATTTTTTTGTGAAATATCTCTGTCCATATATGGCTCTGCTACTCCTGATTTCACCTTTCCTTGAATTGGTGGGGAAAAAACATTCTTACTAGTGCTCTAAATATAAATGGTGTTATTTTTAACAACAAATTAGGATAATGTTAAATATTTTCGTAAATCGATGAAAAGGGTGAACGGGCGAGACAGGCAGTACTGTAATTGGCTCATTGGATACTCAGTACAAGTGTAGCCATCTATGTGTAAAAACAATCGAACAAGTCGACTCACAGTGGGCATGGCATGTACGTACATGCCATCCCCGGCGGCAATGGGTTAAGGTACAATTCACATGTTAATTTGAACATCTGCTATGACCATGCATAAGGTCACTAAAATAGGACATTTTCAACAACCTGATTCAAAAACAAATTAGTTCCTCCTGAAACAAGAATAATGACATAAACCCCCCAAAATAACCAGTTCTAAAAGAATTTTAAATAAATATCATTTTCAAGGGTCCTTTTGCTTTGCTTACACACTGAACAATTCCCAGACAACAGGAGGATAAGGAGGAGGAGGATAAGGAGGAGGAGGAGGATAAGGAGGAGGAGGAGGATAAGGAGGAGGAGGAGGAGAAGAAGAAGAAGAATGCAAAGAAGAAGAAGAAGAATGCAAAGAAGAAGAAGAAGAATGCAAAGAAGAAGAAGAAGAATGCAAAGAAGAAGAAGAAGAATGCAAAGAAGAAGAAGAAGAAGAATGCAAAGAAGAAGAAGAAGAAGAATGCAAAGAAGAAGAAGAAGAAGAATGCAAAGAAGAAGAAGAAGAAGAATGCAAAGAAGAAGAAGAAGAAGAATGCAAAGAAGAAGAAGAAGAAGAATGCAAAGAAGAAGAAGAAGAAGAATGCAAAGAAGAAGAAGAAGAAGAATGCAAAGAAGAAGAAGAAGAAGAATGCAAAGAAGAAGAAGAAGAAGAATGCAAAGAAGAAGAAGAAGAAGAATGCAAAGAAGAAGAAGAAGAAGAATGCAAAGAAGAAGAAGAAGAAGAATGCAAAGAAGAAGAAGAAGAAGAATGCAAAGAAGAAGAAGAAGAAGAATGCAAAGAAGAAGAAGAAGAAGAATGCAAAGAAGAAGAAGAAGAATGCAAAGAAGAAGAAGAAGAATGCAAAGAAGAAGAAGAAGAATGCAAAGAAGAAGAAGAAGAAGAATGCAAAGAAGAAGAAGAAGAATGCAAAGAAGAAGAAGAAGAATGCAAAGAAGAAGAAGAAGAAGAATGCAAAGAAGAAGAAGAAGAAGAATGCAAAGAAGAAGAAGAAGAATGCAAAGAAGAAGAAGAAGAATGCAAGAAGAAGAAGAAGAATGCAAAGAAGAAGAAGAAGAATGCAAAGAAGAAGAAGAAGAATGCAAAGAAGAAGAAGAAGAATGCAAAGAAGAAGAAGAAGAATGCAAAGAAGAAGAAGAAGAATGCAAAGAAGAAGAAGAAGAATGCAAAGAAGAAGAAGAAGAATGCAAAGAAGAAGAAGAAGAATGCAAAGAAGAAGAAGAAGAATGCAAAGAAGAAGAAGAAGAATGCAAAGAAGAAGAAGAAGAATGCAAAGAAGAAGAAGAAGAATGCAAAGAAGAAGAAGAAGAATGCAAAGAAGAAGAAGAAGAATGCAAAGAAGAAGAAGAAGAATGCAAAGAAGAAGAAGAAGAATGCAAAGAAGAAGAAGAAGAATGCAAAGAAGAAGAAGAAGAATGCAAAGAAGAAGAAGAAGAATGCAAAGAAGAAGAAGAATGCAAAGAAGAAGAAGAATGCAAAGAAGAAGAAGAAGAAGAATGAAAAGAAGAAGAAGAATGAAAAGAAGAAGAAGAATGAAAAGAAGAAGAAGAATGAAAAGAAGAAGAATGAAAAGAAGAAGAATGAAAAGAAGAAGAATGAAAAGAAGAAGAAGAAGAAGAAGAATGAAAAGAAGAAGAAGAATGAAAAGAAGAAGAAGAATGAAAAGAAGAAGAATGAAAAGAAGAAGAATGAAAAGAAGAAGAATGAAAAGAAGAAGAATGAATAGAAGAAGAAGAAGAAGAATGAAAAGAAGAAGAAGAAGAAGAAGAAGAATGAAAAGAAGAAGAAGAAGAAGAATGAAAAGAAGAAGAAGAAGAAGAATGAAAAGAAGAAGAAGAATGAAAAGAAGAAAAAGAATGAAAAGAAGAAGAAGAAGAAGAATGAAAAGAAGACAGAAAAGAAGAATGAAAAGAAGAAGAAGAAGAATGAAAAGAAGAAAAAGAATGAAAAGAAGAAGAAGAAGAATGAAAAGAAGACAGAAAAGAAGAATGAAAAGAAGAAGAAGAAGAATGAAAAGAAGAAAAAGAATGAAAAGAAGAAGAAGAAGAATGAAAAGAAGACAGAAAAGAAGAATGAAAAGAAGAAGACAGAAAAGAAGAATGAAAAGAAGAAGAAGACAGAAAAGAAGAATGAAAAGAAGAAGAAGACAGAAAAGAAGAATGAAAAGAAGAAGAAGACAGAAAAGAAGAATGAAAAGAAGAAGAAGACAGAAAAGAAGAATGAAAAGAAGAAGAAGACAGAAAAGAAGAATGAAAAGAAGAAGAAGAATGAAAAGAAGAAGAAGCAGGAAAAGAAGAGAAAGAAGGAAAAGAAGGAGAAGAAGAAGACAGAAAAGCAAGAGCCATGAAAAACAAAAGATAAATGAACTGAGGGCTGCCTATATAGGCCTGGGGAAATTAGAATGTAATAGGAGAGGGAAGAGCATGTGTGGGTATGTGTCTTTGCAAATGTACAATGCTTCTTTCAATTCATATCATCATAATATTCACAATGACAAATTAGTCATAAAAACGATAAGGAATGTAAGATTAATCTATACAGATCAATGATCAGACTCATCATATGTAAGCTTCATGTAACAAAATAAAAGTCAGTTATTAGTCCTACCACCTCACCTGTTTACCTTTTCCTTGATTTTCTGAAAGCTCCATATGTATTATTTAATAGTCTAATGTTATTAATATTCTATTAACAATTAAAAAAAAAAAAAAAAAAACAGTATCGATATTAATAGAATTTGAAAAAAAAAAAAAAAAAAAATCCTGAAATTCAAGGAATGAGGAATTCAGGTGCAGTCACTAGGGCCTACTGATAGATTCCTTGGTGGCTGAGCATATGTGGAGTCATCTGTATGTAACAAAATTCACAAAAAAAATTGAGGGAGCAGAACATAAATCCATTGTTATTGGGTTTAGAAATAATGAATATGATATGTTTTCTATCAGTTTTTCCTGCAATAATTCTTTTGATTAGTCAAGCATTAT